TGATTGACAGCATGAATGAGGTAGCTGGTAGTCTGGGAGGTGTGGGGAGCTGGATGCCAGGTGCTTTGGGAAGTCCCAAGGCAATGGTCCAGTGGAGCACCCTGTATTCTAAGCCTGGGTGCTAGTGAGGAAGACAGTCAGGGGGAAGCAGTTCCTACAGTTGTACAGTGGTGGCACTGGGTGCTGGGCAGGCAGACAGACCCCAAGATACTGACTCCTCATTTTGCAAGATGAAAAGCAGATTCAACTTAGAGATGGATCAGCGACATACTTGACAAAGGAGAGGACTGCCAAGTGGCTGCGTGGGGATGCCAGTGGGCACACTGAGCTCTGGTGCCTCATCCCCACAACCATGGCACCAGAGCTCAGTGTGCCCAGGGAGGGGAGATCTTTTAAGCTCCTAGGGATTTTAGGTGTTGAAAACACATTCCCTATGTTCAAGATTCAATATTAGATGGTTCATTAGGATCAGTTGTGACTGGGCTTGGATTTGTTGTTGTTGTTAACTAGCAGATCATGTGATGCTTGAGCAGGAGGATTTATATTGGTGATTTTAGAATGCTAGTTCCATGGTAGATAAAATTATACAAAAAAAAAAAAAAAAAAAAGAAGAAGAAGAAAAGAAAAAGAAAAAAGAAACTGGGAAAAAAATGACCAGGGAAGGTCATAAGATTTTAGTTGGGTGTGATGGTATATCCCTGTAATCTCAGCAACAGAGGATCCCAAGTTCAAAGCCAACCTCAGCAACTTAGCAAGACCCTAAGCAACTCAGTGAGATCCTGTCTCACAATTAAAAGTAAAAGGCGCTGGGGTTGTGCTAAGTTGTTAAGTGCCCCTGAGTTCAATCCCTGGTACCAATAAATAAATAAATAAGAATAAGATTTTATATGAAAGCACCCATCTAGATTTTGAATGAAATCAGATAGCAACAGCAGTAATAGAGTAGTCTTGAGCCTAGAAATCTAAAACAACTCCTTCATATCAGGGCAAACAAGCTGAAATCAACTTCTTAAGACAGTTTATATACAATAAAAAAAGCTCTTGATTTGGGCTGGGGATGTAGCACAGTGGTAGAGTGTTTGCCTAGCATGTGTGAGGCACTGGGTTTGATCTTCAGCACCACATAAAAATAAAATAAATGTCCATCAACAACTAAAAAATAATAATAAATTAAAAAACCCCTCTTGATTAAGTAAAGCGTATATAAGTGTTGTGTGTGTGTGTGTGTGTGTGTGTGTGGGAAGCTGAGTGGCCTGGAATCTATGAACGTCAGAGCTGAAAGAGGATTTAGGGGCTGGGGATGTGGCTCAAGCGGTAGCGCACTCGCCTGGCATGCATGCGGCCCGGGTTCGATCCTCAGCACCACATACCAACAAAGATGTTGCGTCCGCCGAGAACTAAAAAATAAATATTAAAAATTCTCTCTAAGAAAAAAAAAAAGAAAGGATTTAGAAGGAGGTTGACTGTAGTAGTTGAGCACTTGAACTCTCGTGTTCCTTAAGTCTGGTTTGAATCCCTGATTTACCAGATGTTTGGACAAGTTATTGATCTGAACTCCATTTTTTACATATATAAAATGAGGATTAATAATTAGTTCCTGTTTCATAGGGGTTAATCAGAAAATCTAGGCAAAGAGCTTAGCTCAGCGCTCAGCACAAAGGTGTTTAATAAATGATGGCTCTCAATGCTACCATTTAGCTGCCTGCTCTTTTTACCAATGAACACACATAGTGCAGTTCTCTGTGCCATCTTTCTTCTTCCCCAGCAGTTGCTGTCATGAAAATCAAGCTGTTCAGTTTTAGTCAAAATGAGATCTACCCCAGACATGGAAGGTGCTACACCACGACCAGTGGGAAGCACTTCCAGTTTCTTAATGTGCAATGTGAGCTGGTATTCCTTTCTAAGAACAGATAAACTGGACTGTACACTAAAAAGAAATTCAAAAGAGAAGAAGCCTACGTGCAGTCAAATTCCAGGGGTCCCTCACTGGTGCATCTCTTGCTGATACAAAGGCCAAGAAGAATTAGAAACCGGAAGTGGGAAAGCCTCAATGAGGGCAAGGAAGCAGCATTGCCYAGGAAGCCAAAAAGGCTAAACATGCACCTAAAAAGGCAGCAATGACTGCTATGAAGGCTCCCACAGAGAAGATTGTGGAACCTGTGAAATTTTCTGTTCCCTGAGTTGGTACAAAATGATAAATGGGCAGATCTGATTTTTAAATAAAGACCCACCTATAACCCCTAAAAAAAAAAAAAGAAAAAGAAAAAGAAAAGAAGTGAATAAGAAAACCTGTAGCTCAGACAGGGGCAGGGATACATTCAAAGTCATTTGTGACTCAGTGGCAGAGGGGCACTGCCGTAGTCTGGCTGCAGCAAAATCAGTTCCCTGTCTAAGTCAGAGTCATCCTTGCTCCCGAGACTCCTGATTCCCCAGAAAACTTTCATTCTAGAAACAAAAACCTGCCACGTTTTCCTTCTCTGAGGGATTCTGGCTCAGGGTGTCCCTTTAGGGGCCTCTGAATGACTCCCGGATGGAATCTCTGTTGCAAAGTTTCAGCTTAGCCCCTGCCAGGTTTCCAATTCCTGAACCAAAAGGTCACCTGGGAACTCCTGCCAAAGACTAGGAATCGTTCCCGTGGCCCACCCTCCTCAGCATCATCATCTTAGTTTATGAAGCCACCTATAAATCTTTACTTTAGTCCCCATAATGCTTAGGAGCTATAGTGAACCAATCTTACAAAAGTAGACACCTGTGTAAATGTCAAAATAGGTAACAGGGGAGTCCTCCAGCACCCTGTATTCTATAGCCCAAAGCTCTTGACTCTTAGGTCAGGGAGAGGCCTGGAGAGTCTTCTGGAGAAGAAGTTCCCTTTTGGATTCCTAACTGATTCTTTTGAGAAGCTGAAGGAAGCCATGGACGTTCTCTGTAGAAAGATTCAAAGATTCCCGACTATTTATAATAATTGCATTAGGTTTGAGGGTCTCTAAAGACCCATGTTGGACCCTGTTCCAGGTTGGAACCCTAGGAGAAGACAAGTCCCTCTTTCTTCAGAGAGGTGATTGCACTACTCAGCATGCTTGGAACACTGCAGTGAACCAGACCCGTGAAGCTCCTGTTCTCATGGGCTTCTGTCTAGTGGGGGAGGCAAGCAGTTTCTGACAGTGATGAGTGTGGGAAGGAAATAGGACAGTGTAAGGGAATGAACTGTCCCTGAGAGAAGGGAGACAGTTTAAGTTTGCAGAGGGGGTCAATGGTCAAGCAGGGCCTTTCTAAGGAAGTGACATTAAAAGGTGACCTGAAGAATGAGAAAGATCCAGGCACAGGAAGATTAGATGGAAATGTGTCTCTGGCAGAGGAAAGAGCAAGTGCAAAGATCCTGGGGTAGAAATGACTTTGGCAGAGCTGAGGAACTAAAGGAAGTTGGTGTGACAGAGCAGAGTGGGCAAGAGGATAGTGGAGAGAGGATGGCAAGAGAGGYGGGGGCCGTGGCATGTGGAAATTTGTCATGAGAACATTCTCTGCCTTCTCCCTTTCCATGTTATTCAAACCCAATCCATGCTTTAAGGTCCACCTCTTCTAAGAACCCTCCACCAATCTGAGCCCTGGGATAAGCCTTAGAGTGTGTCACTTGTCTTCAAGGTCTCTGGAAACCACTCACTCTTGAAGCCAGCCTTTAAGCCCTGTCCCTGTGTTCACTGCTGTCAACGTGATGATTGTGTCCCTCCCCCCATTTGTCCATTTGTTTCATAAACAATAAAGTTTCAGGGGGAAACTGCATAGGGCATGTCCTTCCAGCAATGTCCAAAGCTCCTTGAGGACAAGGAGCAGATATTAATTCTTCTACCCCTCAAGGCCTGGCATGCAATTGATATTCAGTTAGGATTTATTGCATGCAGCAGCTCAAGTAACCAAACTGGCCAGGCATGGTGGCCTGGTGGCACTTGCCTATAATCCCAGCTACTTGGGAGACTAAGGCAGGAGGATCACAAGTTGGAGGCCAGCCCCTGCAACTAAGTAAGACCCTGTCTCAAAAAAAAAAAAAAAAAAAAAGGAGTTAGCATCCATATAACTAATTAAAACAAATTAAATTAAATTAAATTAAAAATTTTAAAAAATAAAAAGGAATATAGCTCAGTGGTAACTTGCCCCCGAGTCCAATTTCCAGTACTGAAAAAAGAAAAACAAACAGTGAAAATGTACAATTGGCTTGCTTATACCACCTTTGGCCAGGTGATTTTGGGCAAGCTACTTGACTTCCTAATTTTCCTGATTATCAAAATGACCTAATAACGATCCCCAAGTCAAAGGGTTGTTGTGAAGATCATGAAGTTCCTGATAGACTGTGGCTATTGCAACTACTTCGATTATCCCTATTATCAGTCACCTTATTTTCTCTGCACCCATGACCCAGGTCTTCAGTGGGAAGTCTCCCTCTTGTTCCCTACCCACGGTGCAAACAGGAGCTAGAGTGGTTGTTCTTTAGACCACACCCCAAATCATCAAGGATGTTGCCACCACCAGCGGCTTGTTCTGTCTGTACAGACAAAAGAGCCGGCCTCGCCTTTGTCATAAATGCACCCCCTCGAAAGGCTTTGCCCTCCTCGGCATTGCCCAATACTGGGGCGGCCTCTTGTCAAGATTGCTGCTCGMAAGTCCAGACACTCAGGCCTGGCTCTGCTCCTGGGGTCCCTCGGGGAATCCCTCGCACTCCCCAAGCCTCAGTCCCCTCCGAACAAGGACGAGGCTGTTCTAGGTGGTTTCCGTGAGCCCTTCCAGCCCTGGCACCCTGTGTGGCTGTTTAGGCAGCAGCCCCAGAACACCTGGGGCAGGCGGGTTGGGGTGTCTGGTCAGGACAGCCCACCGCAAGGAAAGGAAGAAAGAAATAAAAGACAGAGAGAGAGAGCTTTGGCTCTGGGAGAAGGGGGAGGTAGGCCAGGGGAAGGAGGAGACTGAGAAGGAGGAGGGACCGAGGGCGGAGGGGGAGATAGACCCAGCCCAGAGCTCTGAGTGGCTTCCTGTGGCCTGTCTCTAAACCCCTCCACATTCCCTCGGACCTTCAGACTGCGAGTKCGCTCTGCCTGCCGCCTGCCCGCCACCAAGGTAAGTGGCACGCTGTTCCCTTCTATGGCTGCACCCACCCAGATCACTCTAGGCCACATCTCTAGCAAGGGACAGGAAGCGGTGCTAGGGGATGCGTGTCTCCCTGGGGCTCCATCACAACTGCCCCAGAGGGCAGGATCCCAGACCCTTGTGCCTGTTGCTTTTTCAGAAGGTGGATGCACAGTGCAACTTGGTTTTCCTTTTAGGTCTGCAGGAAACAATCTCTGTCCCTGGCGAAGTGTTTTCTCTCTGTGTCTCTCTCCTCTGCCCTGCTTGCAGAGGCTCCCTGCCTGTCCTCTTTGCCTCCTCCTCTCCTGGGAATCTGATCCTGTCACAGCTACCACACGGACCTAACAGAGTTAGTCCTGCTCCCTAGACTTTGTTCGGGGGGTCGGGGGACTCTGTTTTCCAAAAGGGACTTTGTGCAAATGATAAATTGACCCCTGAAAGGCAGAGGGGGGCTTCACCTTTAATCAGTACCTGCTCTGGGAAGGCTGGTCTCCCTTGAGTTCTTCACAAACACACACCCACCCCCCACACCCCTATGCCTGTTAGCCTGAAATGGCACCTGGCACAGCCAGTCCTGGGCTGGCCATTGTCCCTCCTGGGCTCTCTGGGATGGTCAACTCAGGAACTCCTCATCAGTAGCCTTTACCGTTTCTAGATCTGAGGAACCCCGGCATCAGATATCATCCAGCCCAGGCACAGGGAGCAGGGTGTGGCAGGAGGTGTCCTGGAAAGGGAGGGAGGGGGCAGGTAGGACCCCTAGGGCCCCAAGCCCCTCTGTTGTGAGAAGTACAAACTCCATACCGAGCTGGGTCCAACCTGTCTGATGTTAGGGCATCTTCAGACGTGTCCCCCACCTTTCTTCATCCTCCTTGGCTCCTCCAAGTGTCCAGTGGACTTCCTGTGTCCCGAGATGAGTCTCCTCAAAAGCACGCAGAGAGACCTGCACCTTCCCCAGGGAGGACGGCATTTGGCATCACTGGTCCTAGTTCCCTGGGACTAAATTCCCATATACCCCAGTTCTGGTGGTTTGGTGAGAAGCAACCCCTAGGTAGGATGGCGGACTTCAGGAACACGGTTGGTGAACGGTCTTAGGTAAGTGTCTCCTTTGCATTTAGCTTTGTTATCTGTAAAGGAAGAGGGTTGGTCTTTGGGGCGCTGGGAGTCCTTGGAAACTTCCAAGGAAGTCCACGAACTGCCCTTTGAGTAGGTTTCAAGCCCTCTGTGAGTCCCTTAAAATTGTGTATCTGGAGAGACAGAGTCAGACAGAGACAGAGACACGGAGATACAGTTTCTAGGCTTAAGGTATTCTCCCATGGGTGCCTGACCCCCCAAAATATCAGAGGGCACAATGTAGGGGAATGGACTAGGCAAGGAAACAAATTTATATTTGCAGGAGGGTGAAAACTGCTGTAATGGGGGTGGTTGGGGAAAGAGAGAGTTAACTTGCAGCCATCAGCTGCCACATCGACAAAGCCTGGAGCAGGGACGTGGAGGGAGGGGGAGGGGGTTGCCTGGAGAAGGAATCAACTTTTGAAACTTTCTCCAAGTCCCACCCACCAAAAGGCTCTTCTCTACCGTGACTCACTCTCCGAGGAATGCGAGTTACCACGGCAACCTTTTTTTCAGGGTCTCTGCCTGCTGGCTGGGAGGGGACGCTGGGAACACTCAGAACGTCAGGCTCACTCTCAATGTCCCCACCCTCCTTCTCCATCCCCGCCCCCTCCCCCCATACAAGGATGACTGCAAAGCTCTAGGCCCTGTCCAGATCTCCCAGTGTCCCAGGAAGCCAAGGACTGTGATAAGCTCCCTAAACTGGGTATTCAAAGATTTTTCTTTTCTTTTAGCTGAGCTCAGAAGCTGTCATCTGACCTTGAACTAATAGGTCCCCTTTCTGAGTTCCAGTTTCCTCCTGGGTTAAAGGGCAATAACGGCAGCCTCCTCGAGAGAGTATTGCATGGATGAAATGGGATAATGCATTTCATAATGCACTTTATGCTCTGGGTTTTTAGAGGTGATGGATGTATGGAATCCAAAGAGCCGGCAAAATGATTCCCAGCTTTTTTCCCCTGGTGGCTCCATCGTTTCAGGCTCTGTGTAGAACTTCTCTTTACTAAAAGAGCAGACAGGCATATCTTTTTAAAAACTCATGTTTACATTTTGACTTGAGGACCTTGTCTATGTCCCAAGAGTGAGAGACCCTCCCCTGCAAGCAGAGAGAGCATGGGCCCAGGGAGCCAACAGACATGGTTCCAACTCAGGAGCCCGTGACATTGGGAAAGACACTATCCCTCTCTGGGCCTCAGTTTCTTGATCGGTTACATGGGAAATCCAAGCTAGACGGTCTCCAGGCACCCGGCCAGCTCTAAAGCCCTGAGAACACAAATCTCAGCCACTCCCTTCCTCTGGGGGAATAGCTGGCCTACATTTTGAGCAGCACTTCTCTCCTCCCCAGTGCAAAGGAACCTAGAGAGAAGGGGCCTGGGGATCCTCCATCTGTAAAGATTGGCCTCCATCTGTAAAGATTCCTTAACCAACAGCATAGCTGGGGTTGCTTCTCAGAACAGCAGCTTTCTTAAATGAAAATAAACTATAAATAGGAAAAGATGGTGGAAAGGAACAAGCAGAACTGAAGATATGAAGTAAACAGTTGAACTTTTGGCTTTTGAGGTTATTTAGGATGTTGATAAGTATGCGGAGATAAACAGGGACAGACACAAACCCACCTGGGGGCACAGTGTAAACACCAACTCACCAACAGGCGCCACTGGCACAGCTAAAAATAAATGCCTCCTGTATAAGCTGGCGTGATGTCGTGCGCCCACCTACCTCTCCCTGATCAATACTTTGACACACACACGCTCACAGAATGCCGATTATAACAAGGGACCCATATGTAATGCACATGCATCCCCTAACAACCCTTATGTTTTAGAGACAGAGAAATTGGAGTTAAGGACGGGAAAAGAACTTACTTGAGGTCACAGGACAGGTTGGAGYCTGAAACCTGGCTTCCAGGTGTTTTGAACCATCCAGGTATTCGCCATGAGTGTCTCCTACCCACTTCTGGTGGGTTTGGAGTTGGGCTCATGTACCGTCCTCCACAGGCCGTAAATCCTGTGGGCATAAGTGATTGGTAATACTTTCTCTCTCCCCTTTGCTGGCCCTCAATGGCCTGTCCCAGCCCATGTGGCTTTGTCATTAGGCTCAAAGGGCCAACTAATGTGGCTAATCAGTGGTTGCTCATTTGCTTCCTGCTGGCTCCCTCCCTGACCTCCAACTTAGAAGGACAGGAGGGGATCTGGGCTGAGCTTCCAGGCAGCCCAGGGATAGTGAAGTTCCCGGTCCTCCACAGCACAACCTGGATCCTTCTTGCTCTCACTTCCAGCCTCAATGGTGAACCCAGGGACAGCTGGGCTGTGCAGGGCTAGGGCCGGCACGTACTAACTTGACAGAATCATTTAGGAAAGCAGCCCTCTCTTTCTCTTTAGCCAAGAGATGTCTTAGATGGCAAAGGGACTCTGCCCTGGTCCATCAAGTGATAGAGCTTGGTGTCTAGGGGAGAGATAGGAGCAGTGACACCAATTCTCCTCAGAGCTGGGTTCTTCCAGAAACTTGGTATTAACTCCTCTCATTCAGGGATCCCTCTGGGTCCCTTGTGTTAGTCATAGCATTAGGATTTCAGATTTGTCAGGTTAAAAAAAAATCTAGATATTTATGAGAAAGACACCAGCTTGCTATATGACCCTGAGTGATTTATTTTTCTTCTTTAAACCCCAACTTTTCTCTCTTGAAAACAAGAGGCATGGCAAAGAACCTTCGTGTGGCCTGACAATGGTAATCCATCCTTAGTGGCTATCAAAAGAACTGTGTTCAGCATTATGATACCACTCTAGACTTTTGGGGAAAGGGCATATAGTGGATTAGTAATGTCTGCAACGTGAACAAGAAGGTTGTGGAAGGCAGATATGCCACATGTTTGCTATCCTTTAGGCCTTTCTTGGATGTGACAGCCTGGATACTTTGATCTAATTATCCCCTCCATTTGTGGTCACCGCTGATGCAGCAATGGTCCTCTAGGGGGCGCCAAGGAGGCTGCTTGGGGCTCCACCCTGAGCCTCTGCCAGCGCAGTGAAACGTGGCATTTCAGGAGATTTTATGGAATCTCAGCCTGGCTGATTACAGTCTCAGAATCTGGAGCCGCCTCTGAGTTGTCCTCAAAGCTCTCTAATCGTAGGTTTTATTTTATTTTTAAAAATTTTATTTATTTATTTGTTTATCTTTGGGTCTGGGGATTAAACCCAGGGATGATTTGCCACAGAACTACATTCCCAATCCTCTTTATTTTTTGAGACAGGGCCCTGCTTTGTTGCTGAGGCCAGCCTTGAACCTTCGTTCCTCCTGCCTCAGCCTCTCAAGTCATTGGGATTACAGGTGTGCTCCACCGTGCCCAGCCAATTCTGGATTTTAGCATTCTCAGTGCCCTCACCATTTACCTTAGCTTCTTCCCTTCCATCAAGAAATATTACACGTGGAAATGAAATGTCTATGGCCAGTGGGGAGAGGCGATACTCCAAAAAACTTTTGCCTGAGTTGGCTCGTAAAGTCTGAGCTGAGCTGGGCAAGGTGGCAAGGGCCTATAATCTCAGTGGCTCAGGAGGCTGAACCAGGAGGATCACAAGTTTGAGGCCATCGTCAGCAACTTAGTGAGTCCCTAAAAGTAAAGAAAGTCTGAGACTGCTGTGCCCAAGGGTTTCCAGCTGTTTCCAAAAGAACCTAGAAACGTTCCAAGATGTCTCAGGGTACAGCTGAGTGGATAGAACATCCAGCCCTCAACTCCACTCCAGTTGTACCTCCTCTTGTTTTTCAAGCTTATTTATTAATCAGACATATTCACATGTTTAACAGATGCAAAAACTTCTAGCTGCTTGAAATATGGAATTTCTGCAGGAAGCTTGGTTGAAGGAGTATTTTCTGCTTTACTTAATTTTGAACATCACTGATCTAAAACAGATTCCTGAAACCAGGCACAGTGGGTGGTACACTCCCATAATCCCAGCAACCTGGGAGGCTGAGGCAGGAGGATCACAAGATCAAGACCAACCCTGAATTTAGTGAGACACTCAGCAAATTAGCAAAATCTGTCACAAAATAAAAAAAGGTTGGAGATGTAGCTCAGTAGTAAAGTGCCCCTGTGGTCAATTTTCAGTACCTCTCCCAATAAACAAACAAATAAACAAGCAAATATATAGAATAGCCTCTTTGTTGGACAGTCAGGACAGGGTAGCTTAGATCCAGAGAGGAAAGAAGTCTTCTCCAATTTTGCACAGTGATCTGGGAGCAAAACTTGATCTCAAGACCCCTGACTTCTACTTCACAAGGCCACCTCTGAGTGACTGGGTCTGGTCCCAGGACATGAACAGGAGTGCCAGTGTCCCCACCTTGGCCACAGTGCCACGTCTCTGACTTGGCTGGGCCCAAGCTCTGTGGAGCCCACCCTCCCTGCCTCTGAGTCCTGGCTCCTGGCACATGGCTTCCTTTCTTAGCCTCTAAACTTGTTTTCCTCCCTTTGGGATTGTTTACAAGCAACATGTGATTTTGGAACCCTTGTTTCCAAGCCAGACAGTGGGAGTGAAATGCTTGGCTTTCGTCAGCAGCCCACTAAGAGGCCAGCCTGGGGCCTGGCCATCCTGACTGCACTCTCTGGAAGCTAGGCTGGTCTCCCCCAGGCCAATCTGGGCAATATTTCTTCTGTTCCACCCCAACACACCTTTCCCCTGGGCAAACAGACAAAGAGCTGGGATTCTTTCACAGAATTGTTGAGGGGAATGGAGATTCTGGATGCTTGGATTCTAAGATGCTCTTCTGCACCACATTGCTTACTGTTTTCCTAGTGTCCTCTAGTGCAGATCATCCATGAGCTTTTGGAGGTAGGTATGTTATTCTGTTTATTACACAGACAGAGGAACTCGTTGAGACTCAAGAGAGGCAAAGCTGGTTTCTGAAGATCCCACAATTGCTAAGTGGCCGAGCCAGGACTTGAACCTGTACATTCTGGCTCCAGTGCCCATGAGCTTACCTTTGTGCTGCGTTGCCATTACAACCACTGTTCTAGTGTGGTAGTCACTAGCCACAGCTGGCTATTTAGATTTAAATTAATTACAATGAAATATGATAAAAAATTCTCTTCATTTGCTCTGGCCACATTTCAAGTGCTCAATGATGACACATGGCCAAGAGCTGCTGCACCTGGCAAGGCAGATATAGAATATTGTCATCATCTTAGAAAGTTCTTTTGGATCACAATCCTCCCTAAACTCTTTTCACTCAAGTTAAGATCTAAGGATGGCAGATGGGTGTACTGGTGCACACCTGTAATCCCAGATGCTTAGGAGGCTGACCCAGGAGAATCCCAAGTTCAAGGCCAGTCTCGGCAAGTTGGTGAGACCCTGTCTCAAAATAAAAAATGAAAAGGACTGTGGTAGAGTGCCCTGAGTACCATCCCCAGTACCACACACACACACACACACACACACACACACACACACACACAAAAAGATAGAAAGAAATTGATTTGATGATTAAAACTCAGGTTCTGTGATTCTCTTCTAGGAGCCTAAGATGATTCTGAGTCACAGGATCTAAAATTCTGATTCTGAGATTTCCTCCAGTTCTGATACTCAGTGACTTTTCAGCGTCCAGGGAGAGCCCCAGAGAAGGCCATTGATGTTTGGGGGGAGGCGAGCTGGGGGGCTGGCTGTACTTTTCCATCCCTAGAGTCTTTCTAAAGACAGAGAAGTGACCTTGAGTTTCGGGTCCTGCTGGCAGCCCAGGACGGGTTTTCAGCTGTCTCCAGAGCAAATAAAGGCAAAGGACAGGACTCCATGTACGGAACAGGAGGCCGCCCTGGCAGGGTCGGGGGGTGGGTTCTGCGCTTGGTGGCCACCAAACCAAGGGAAATACACCTCCAGTGCCTCCTCTGACCAGGCGCTTCTTTTCCTAGCACTGTGGCTAGTTCTGCCCAGCGGGGGCTGTTTAGGTGACCACTTGGGAGGGAGCAGGCGCTACCAGAAATGGCTCCCGAGGTGGAGAACAGACCAGTGGCGGAGGGCGGCTGCCTGGGTCCTCTCCCAACCTCCCTCTGACCTCAGRCTCCCTGGGAAAGCAGGACTTGGGACTCTAACACACTGTCTGCCCAGCGTTTGCCACCAGGCTCCAAGGGGCCAGCATACATGTCAGAGTGCCCAGGAACCATAAAACCCAGCAAGACGTAGGCCAGAGATGGGGATGGCCGAGAGGGTGCCTGTGCAGCCAGAGAGCCAACCAACAAAGCTTCTCCCTGGTCATGGCTGAGGGACACTTCTGTGTCTGTGTCCCTGCTCAAATGAGGGACACAGACTCTGAGGAGCACATCTTTCTGGCTCTCTATTCTGAAGCTTATTACATTTCCAGATCTCGCTGGACTATTTCTCCGGTGACATGACTTCTCTGACATTGTAGTTTAGACGGGGTGACTTTTTGTTGTTGTTCCAACTGCCAGTCTCACTTTGATCCTAAAACTTTCATCTCAGACAAGTCCTTCATTGATGCCTCCTCTCCTGTCCCACTTGCCCAAAGCCTCATGCAGGAGTTGTTTAACTTATGTCTTCCAAATGGGGAAGAAAGGCGGAAGACTTTTTCCACTGGAGCCTGGGGAGACAAGTGAACAACTGTGTGAAGGAGAGGAACATTCCAGAAGCTTCCTGAAGAAGGAAGACTGGACTCCTTGGAGAGCKGGGGCCATTGTGAAGCAATGCCAAGCTCGCACGCCAATTCCTTTAAATTCCTGTTAGTTTTATATCGTGCACACCTCATAAAACAGGGGCTGAGGATTTCTGTCTCTTTGAGCCCAGTGAAGGACCATTATGAAAGATGTTTTTCCTCTGTCAGTTGCTTATACCCAAATATTGTCATCCAAGGAAAGATGGCTGATGCCCAAGGACAGGACACATACCAAGACCAACTTGTGCCTGTGATTTTTTTTTTTTTTTTGGTGTTGAAGACTGAACCCAGGTCTTACTCATGCTAAAGAAGCACACTACTACTGAGCAACACCCCCAGGCTTGCCTGTGGCATTGCAAGAGCATTTTAAGCCCAGTGTATCTCAAAGTTCATCTGGTCTAACATCCTCAACTGACAGATGGAGAAACCAAGAGAGGACAAAGGACTTAACTAACATAGTAAAGTCTTAAGGTAGAACAAGAACCCCTGGCATTTAATTGAGGAATTCCACAATATTAGGGAACTCCCACTGCCATGCTTGGTCAGTTGAGAAGTCTTGGAAGGACCTGGGGATTGATGAGCCCGATGGAAGTTGTAGAGACAAGAGAGGAAAGAAAAGGCTGCCCTTGACTGAAAAGCTATTTGGGGACAAAGGGAGCAGGTTTGTTCTGGGTGGTGCAGAAAGACAGAAATGATAGACCAGGAGAAGCTTGAGGGATGCAGATTTGAATCAGAATAAGGAAGAACTTTCTAAAGCAAATTGGAAATGAGAGCCCATTTAGTTAGCACAAGAAGTAAAATGTCCCCATCACAGACCCTTCGTTGGGGATGAGATTTTGACATCGAATCATTAAAGATTCTGCTCCAAATTACCTCATAGCCATGAGTATTAGAGTCTAAGGTTTAGCATCTAGAGACCCAGGTCTTAGCAGTGATCTGGGAAGGCAGAGGAACTTTCTAGATCTTAACTAACATCCCCTGTGYAACATATAAGAAACATTTGGATGGTTTCCTTGGAGAATCCAAAGAAGTGCTGCCCTTTCCGGGTAGAATAGAGAAAAATGTGGTCACCCTCAAGTTTCCATGGGTCACACTCGAAGACTATGGTCTGTTGTAAACGTGGATCTCATTGTTTCAGATTGGCAGGAGGTTGCTCTCTATTAACTTCTTCCACTGCAGAGGGGGTAGGAAGGAGACAGAAGAGGAGGAGGAGGAAGAGGAGGAGGAGGGGGGGGAGGGGGAGGAGAAACTGGAGAATAGGAAAGAAAATAATCTTAGAACATCAGGGATTCAAGGGCCCTTAAATTAGCATGACCAAACTTGACTAACTAGCCCATCACCTTGGTTGAAATGCTTTAAAAAACTTAAACAAGTATATTTTTATTTATCATTACCATAAAAGGAAAACTCTGTGTACCTTTGTTATAAATAGAAGGAAACTGTAAAAAATGAACAAAAAGCAAACAAGACAACTTCATTGAATCCCAGCGGTCTCTAGCTTCCTGTGGGGGCTCTGAGCCAGAGGGCTGCTCTTGGTCATAAAGGAGATGAGAGCTAGACTTTCTCCTCATATAATCATGATTGAAAGAATACGGCACGGAACCACCTTCCTCCCCCCATCTTTCACCACCATTTAACACATAAACCATCTAAAGCCAACCCACATATTCCAGGGATGTAGAAGTTAACTCATGGAAGTCTCCACCTCTCTTCCCGCAGGGTTCCCAGCATCATGAGGGCCTGGATCTTCTTTCTCCTTTGCCTGGCCGGGAGGGCCCTGGCAGCTCCTGTGAGTACTCAGGATCCTATCTTCCCTCTCTTAGCTTCCACTGCCTGCTCCAGGGCGTCTGAACCTGCCAGCCCTGGATATTCAGAGGGGCCAGGGACTCCCCCATCTCAAGCCAGTTGTCTCATTTATAAAAATTGATTTCTTTTAAGCCACAAAGCTCAGAAGAAAAATTGGGATGAGGACCGGTTGGGGGAGGGTCCAGAGAAGAGAGTTCTGTGGAACTTGAAGATGAACCCTTTAGCAGTTAGAACTTCTGGCCAGGGATTAGGGTTGCCAGGGAAGTGGCCTCTCAGTCATGAGAGGAATTCAAGCAGTCAAGTATGAGGGGGTGACAGGGATGGTGTTAGGAGAGAATCCAGCCAGAGAGGGATGGCTCCGTTTCTGAATCAGACTCCAATCCAATCAAATGGGGCTGAGGGGAGGTACAAGTGTAGATTAGGTGTTCTATAGCAGCAGAAATACTTTTGCAAACTAAATATTAGGCTGGCCTAGATAGTTGGATATAAAACACACGAAAGGGTGTTYCTGGTGTTCCCTGCTTTGTCCTGTGGCCCCCCCATCCCCCACCATGGCAGTCCAGAGGCAGCCTGGGGAGTCTCCACACACTGCTCTTCAAGGTCTGYCAGCAGATGAAGCTGGCCTGGGTCCTGACCTCTCTGAACCCCACTTTCTCTTTCCAGCAGCAGCAGGAAGCCCTGCCTGATGAGGCAGAGGTGGTGGAGGAAACGGTGGCCGAGATGACCGAGGTATGTGGCACCCGTGGCCCCTCTCTGCCCATGCCTTCCCTGGGCAACCCAGAACTGGTATTGTGGGTTGGAACAGGGCATCTGTCGCCTTCCTGTGTGCACACACAGCATAGATGGACAACCTATTCTCCAAAATCCCAACACGCTCCTGAATGCTTCCCAAATTTTCAATAGAATCCTATAGTTGGGAGGCATGATTTGGCAATTTTTAGTTTTTTCCTGCATGATCACCCACGGGTCTCCCCTTGCACAAACAGATGAACGGGGATCTACGCAGGTGTGGCTGGCAGGGTGAGGGGGCTTGGCATCCCTTCTGGCCCTAACACCCTTGGGCATCAAAACAGAATTCCAGAGAGCTACAGAATATTTAATCTAAGATTAACAAGAAGTGTGTTTAATAAATTAAGAAGTTAATAGTAAATATAAGATTCAGTCTAAATCCCCAACCCTGGCATTTGTGTGGTGACCTGGGCTCAGCCCACACTTCCACCTCACTATCATCTCCTTGTGGGTATCTGAAGCTTCGGGCAAGCCCCTCCCCCCATCTTCACCCCTCAGTTCTAGGTCTGGGGTGAGGGTGGGGACCATTTGATTGATTCTCTTCCTTCCCTCTCAGGTAACCGTGGGATCCAACCCTGTCCAGGTAGAAGTAGGCGAATTTGAGGATGGTGCCGAGGAAACCGCAGAGGAGGTGGTGGCTGAAAGTAAGTCCTTCGCCTGTGACTGCATATCCAGTGTTCCTTTGGCTGATTGGGCCTGGGGCCTGAGGCCAGCCTACTCAAGAAAATGCAGGGTGCGGTACTCAGTGGGCCAAGGAGAAGGCCGAGGAGACGGCTTGGTCTTGGAGGTTGGGAATACTCTTTGGCACACCGATCTATTTATAGCCAGACCACGTGTGCTCTGAATGGCAGGAAGGGAAGTTCCCCAGCTGGGAGTGGACTTCTCCCCTTTCAGCTCTTTGCCCTGATTCCGAAGTTGGATTTCACATTCCCAGTGGGGTCATGAGTCACCTCTGGTTCCCCAGATGGCCTGTGACCTCTGTCTCAGCCTAAGCCCCTGCATAGGAGCACGCCTGAGAATGGAGATGGGGAGTGGTCATATTTTATTACCTTATCTGATTGTCACTCAGCCCAAGAAAATAAGGCCCCGAGGAAGCAAAAGCAGACAAGAGTCCTAACATTACCCACAGAGTCAGTGCCCGAGGGGGAGAAAGACCAATGGGCCTCAGGGTCGTGCTCTCAGGTTGAGTAGCTGTACCCCAGGGGTCAAGAGCATGGACTCTGGAAGCAATCCAACCAAGGTTTGAATCTAGACTTCTCCAGGAGAGCTTGCCAGCCCCTCTGACCCTCACCTTGCTCCCCTCTGGCATGGAAGTGATGAGGTCATAGACCCTCATCCTGGGCCTGTTGGAAGGGGAAGGAACCAAAGCAACAGAGAACTTGACCCCATGCTGCAGAGCGGCATCCAGTAAGGGATGATTATAACAGCCACAATTAAGCGTCAGGAGGAAATGGCTAGATGCAGTTCCCATCCTGAGGGGATAAATAACAGGCATTTGGACGGAGCTGGCACAGAGCTTTTGTTGGAGCAGGCAGTTGTCTCCTGAGTCATGTTCCTTCCCTGTCCACGCCCACCTCATCCGGGGTTTACAGACGCAGCTGGCTCTATTGTCTCAGCCCCTTCTCCCTTTTCCTTTATAGACCCTCACTGCTCCATGACCACAGCTGACTTGCTAAGCCATTCTGGAAAATCTGTCCTGGATTCCAGAAATGCCTCTCTGTGATGGTTCAGCTGAAAGCTGAGACCACAATTCTTGGTTGCTTCAGTGTCAGGGAGGCCATCTGGCATCCCAGTGTTTCAGAGACCCAGATTGAGCCCCTAAAAAGTACCTGGTCCCGACCTTGGATTGAACCTCTCATTCTCACACTGAGCCATCTGCTCCCCTAAATGCTGATTGCCAGGCTCAGTTGAAGAGCATGGTGGCCCACCCAAAGCTCAGAATAGGACCATAGCAAATTGTCCAGAGCTCTGCTGGGGTCAACCTGGGGAGGACATGATAGTCAGGGGTGCTAACTCCCTGCCCGTGTGCCTACCAGACCCCTGCCAGAACCACCACTGCAAACACGGCAAGGTGTGCGAGCTGGATGAGAACAACAGCCCCATGTGCGTGTGCCAGGACCCCACCAGCTGCCCCGCGCCCATCGGCGAGTTTGAGAAGGTAAGGGCCAAGGGACTGGGCCCCGCAGCATTCGGAACATCTGCCCAGCAAACCCTGGGCTTGGTGGTTCTACAGGGCAGCTCAGGTCTCAGGAGCCCCATCATTAGATCCAGTCTCAGCAGAAAATCGGAGCTGAGTCAGGGGCGAGGTTGTCCAACAAGCAAGGAGAATCTCATCAACACCATCACGATCCTAGCTCCGGGCTGGATGCACAATCTCAGGACTCCAGAATTCCAAGCTCTACACCTGACTCGATAGAGGAGAATAAGCCCTGTGCAGCTTAGCAGAGTATCATGTCTAAAAATGTTGCTTCTAGAGCCAGATTAGAGGTTGACTTCAAGCCTCCTCTCCATCACTTGTTAGCTCTAAGATCTCAGCCAAGTTGCTGAGTCTTTCACAAATCTCAGTTTTCTCATGTTGAAAGAAGGAATAGGAATGGTCCTTAACTCTAAGAATTGTTGTGTGGCTTTGTAAGACAATGCCCAGGACATAATAAGTCACCCATCAATGCTATTTATTTGTTTGTTTGTTTATTTATTTCATTATTTTTCAAATCTATCCATTCTGCCTCCAGTATCCATCCATCCATTCATCCAAATCAGTACCCACTTATGTCCACCATTGTGCCACCATTGTGGTAACCTAGCTCAGGGCAGCAAATATGGCACCAGCTTAGCTTCTCCTTCTTTAAGACGACATAGCTTCGGGCTCCATGTTAGAGCATCACTGGTCACTCTTTCCGCCTCCCAATTCCCGCATCCTGCAGATCCCCGATGCCAAGAATCCCTCCTCTATACCACAGCCACTTTCTGACTCCTATCTAGCTGAGCCCTCAGCATTGCTGCTTGGCAACCCTTATGATCAGAGGTTCCCATGGAGATTGGGGGCTCAGCATGCGGTCGTGCCATAGCTGTGATCGATTACAGCAATGTGTGGAGGATACAGCCAGAACCTAAGTGGGAAAGACCCAGGCAGAGACTGGAGGATCCATGGGAGGCCTGAGTATTGTCTTCCTCTCTTCCACATGRAGTTCACCCTTATCCCAGCTTCAAAAATGCAGATACCTGTTTCTGCTCAAAGAAGCCCACCCAGAGACTCAGCACCCAGCGTTTTGATGGGGATAAGCACCTAGGCACCCTCTGCCTAGTGTGTACCAAAATTCCAGACTCCCAGGGGACAGCAGATGTTCAACATGAAGTGAAGCATGTGCCTGAGCAGGCTAGGTTGAGTGAGCCTCCCTATCAGTTAGGGGAAGATTTGTGACAGTGCAGAGACCCGCTCATAGCCAGGTTCCCTGACACTAGCCAGAGGCCAACCTCACAAGCAGGCCTTTTTAAGGACACCAATCTCCCATCTCTCATGTCCACTCTTGTCTTTTTTCCTGTTCCCATCTTTGGCCKGTCATTCAAATGTCCTCCTGGGTCTGCGTCCTGGCTCAGTTGTGCCTTTGCTCTGAGGACCATCAGTGGCTTTCAGCATGGGCTGACCTCTGGCCTGGGAGCCTAGAGAGTGGGCTCTTGTCCCAGCCCCACCACCAACTCCCTGCGTGACCTTGGGCTCATCGMATTCCTGGCTTGGCCCTCGGTGTCCTCATCTCCGAAACCAGCCAGTGTGGGCCAGCAGAGGGCTTTGGGAATGAGGAAGGGGCTCTGTGCTTGGCCAACAGGTGTGCAGCAATGACAACAAGACCTTCGACTCCTCCTGCCACTTCTTTGCCACAAAGTGCACCCTGGAGGGCACCAAGAAGGGCCACAAGCTCCACCTGGACTACATCGGGCCTTGCAAATGTGAGTCTTTCCTTGGGCCCTTGGCTGCCAGCTTAGGGAGGGAGCCCTGGCACTAGCAGGTGCAGGCTCTACCACCCCCTATGCCATGTGATCTTGAGCAAATCTCTTTCCCCTTCTGAGCCTCAGGGCTCCCATTTATAAAATGAGATGATTGTCTATGGAGTTGTTTCCTTCAGCTCTGAATTAGGACATATCCCAGGAAAGAAGGGAGACATCATAAAAACACAAGATCAGGGAGGATATCTGGAGCCTCCCATTAGCACCCAAGACAACCACATTTCTTTTCTCTAAAGATGAAGAAGTTCTTGTAGAAGGCTAACTCAAATCTTTCCTGCTTCAATACTGTAAAGCAAAAATAATGTTTTAACCTGGGCCTACAAAGTTATTTTTTAAAAATATTTGAATTTGAGTGCTTTAACCTAGAGGCATGCCTGTCAGTTCCTTTTAAGCTCTGTTCCTCAATATTGTCATAGGCCCTTTATTCCAGTGCATTTCTATCTGCCTTCTTAAGACACATAATGACCACCCTCCTCTCAAAACCAGGGAGTCAGGTGTTTGAGAGAAAGGACACCAGCCAGGGTGTCCTTGGCCCTTTATTAGTGTTCCCAGCTGCAGTTTCCCCTGGCCCATAGTTTGAGACACCCCAGACCACTCGTTCCCTTGCAAGATGACACCCGTTGCATCCCCAGTACCTTCTGGTACAAGTGGCACTAGGAGAACGGCTCACCTGCCTCAGTTGTGCAGGCTGCAGAAAGGTAGAGGACAGGCAGAAAAGAAGGTTCTCCTTGTGGTTAGCTCTGTTGCTAATTATGGGGCCTAGGGTGTGAAATGGGTGGAGATGTTGGGATGGCTCTGATCATGTGGTCTGCAGTAAGCCCCTTCCTCCACTGACCTCCAGTGCGTCCAAGAAGAGGGTGGACTTGGATGAAATCTCCAGGTCTGATCTCTGGGAGGCTAAGTTATAAAAGCCAGGATGGAGTCATTATCTCTGAGAAAGTTCTGGAGGCTCAGTTTTCCTGATTCCTCTGTCCCCGAMCCAATAAGCCTGCCAAGCTCATTCCTCAGCCTCCTGTCTTCAAACGCCTCCTGACATTTGACATAGTGCAGGCTCAGCCTCTGCAGGCCTCACACCCACGGCCACCGCCCAGGAAGGTGACCCTGACCCCAGAAGTGCAGATCAAGGTCAAGGAGGCAGAGGGATGCCTCCGAACATCCCCATTTCCAGAGCGTTCTCCCCACAGGGTCTCCTGGGAGGAGCTGCTCAGAGGTGGGGAGCACTATCCCAAGGCACTGGGTGAAGTGGCCGAGGGAGTCCAGCCTGGGTGTGGAGTGGCTTGGGCAGCGTGTCAGCTCTCAGGCAGGGAGAGTCCGGGTCTGGGCTGACCACCCATGTGTTCTGGACCCTAGACATCCCCCCCTGCCTGGACTCTGAGCTGACCGAATTCCCTCTGCGCATGCGTGACTGGCTCAAGAATGTCCTGGTCACCCTGTACGAGAGGGACGAAGATAACAACCTTCTGACTGAGAAGCAGAAGCTGAGAGTAAGTGGACTCTTTCCTGCCTGGCCTTGCGGGCCCTGGGTTGACTGGGAGCCTGTCCTGGCCCTAGAACGAGGCCCTCTCTGTAAGCCTGCATCCTCCCTGGGAAGCACACTGGCCCTGGGTACCAGGGCATGTGGTTCTCCTTGTTGTCTTTGGAGGCTGACGGGCATCTTAAAGGACCTGAGGAGTCCTGTATGTCCACTCACTTTGGTCCAGCCCAGTGTTGAACAAAAGAGACACACATCCTGGGCCGCCTTCTTTTTGAGTTTGTGGATCTTTAATCTAAGATGCTGATACGATGCAAACTCATCAGCTTCCCTTAACCTGGTGCATCAGCTTCTCTGTGGCCAGGAAGCTGCCCTTAAGCATGTCTCCAGGTGACCCTGACTGCGGAGCTCTATGAGGACCCTTTCAGGGGGTCCCAGGCCTGCCCGTTTGTGAGTGAGTGCCTCTGCCCCTTCCTTCTCCTTACTGCGACCTTAGGTCTTGGCTGGTGTCTGTCTGCCCCGGCCTCCTGTCAGAGGTGGGAAGGGCCCTGGTGGGCTTTAAGGTTTTCCCGTGGATCCTTTGTCACCTGTGTCTCTGTCCCCACAGGTGAAGAAGATCCATGAGAACGAGAAGCGCCTGGAAGCTGGCGACCACCCTGTGGAGCTGCTGGCCCGGGACTTTGAGAAGAACTACAACATGTACATCTTCCCCGTGCACTGGCAGTTTGGCCAGCTGGACCAGCACCCCTTTGATGGGTAAGACCCCAGGCCCTCAGGACCACAGGGGCCGGCTCTGGCTTGGCCCTGGAGCGGGTGGAGTCACGGATCAAGGCTGGTGGGTTCACTAGATGCAGCCAGAAAGCCTCTAGGCAAACTCCACTGTTCCCAGCCTCAGACCCCACAGTTTGTCTGGGGCTTGGAGCAGAAGGAAGAGCCATTTGGAGAAAGGATGTGGATTGGGGAAGAAGAAAGCAATAAGACGYCCTTGTGCCAGAGGTGGAAGTCACCAGGAACTGGAAATACCTCCTTAACTCTGAGAGTGTTGGGACTTGGGTCCCCACCAGTTAGGAAGGAGTACCAGACCCCAGGGGGTACAAGGGTGGCCGGCATGTTCCCTGTCCTTTGGCAGAACATCTGGGAGCAGAACAATCATCCAGCAGAATCTCAGCCCCATCCTGAGGCCCAGTCCCAACAAAGCCTGGAAGTTCCTATAAAATTCGGAGTCAGTTTCAACTACATTGCTTGTCCCTGGCTTGAGGTCTCCTGCCCCTTGTCCAAATGACTTATGCAGCACAATAGGCAGGCAGCTGAGCGGTTACGAGGTACACACTGTCTGTTCTGCGCCTAGGACTGTTCCAGGCAGGGACTTTAACAGTGCTCAGAGATCAGGCTCTGTTCTCACCCCTGCCACCACCCRCAGGCCCTCTCTTGTGGCAATGAGAGCCATAACCCAGCTCAGCCCGAAGAAGATACCCTTCCCCTCTTTCCTGGAGCCCTTTCACCCTTTTATTTGACCATGAGAAGCAGATGTCTCACACTGGGRACAGGAGGGCCACCCTGCTCAGATGTCTGGGGGAACAACGCTGCACCCTGGGACACTTCTCTCTGGGATGCTCACTGCTAGCTCTTTGTCTAGCCCGTCCGTGGGGATCGTGCCCACCCTGTGGTCCATCCTGGGTGGCTGGGTCCTCCGAGGCTCTGGGAAGCTCCCAACTACTTCTCTCCCAGGCTCTTGATGTGGCAGGGATCCAGCTGAGTCACTCACTGTGATGGAGAGGGGGAAAATCATAGGGGACCATCTGGAACTCAGGCTAAGCCCTTGGATCCCACGGCAACAACTGGATCTGGAGAGAGGTTTCCAGATGCGCCTGCAGGAAACATGCATCTGGGAGTGCGCTGCAGCCTGGGCTGGGGGAGCCACCTCCTCCTCCTCTGGTCCTAGAGCTGTGGGTGGATTTGCCTATGTCCCCACCCCTCCCTTCAGTCTCCCCACCAGTGCAATGAAGCAGGGTGGGGCCGGGGAGTGTTTCTTCCAGTTCAAACATCGTGGGATTCCCTCTATGAATTGCATGGGCTATGAGGTCTAGTTAGGAAAAAAAAAAAAAGTATTGAAGTCTCAAAGTTCCCTGGAGTCCCTTGAGGGGAAGAATGACTTGGGACAAATTGTTAAGGGCGCTGGGAAAAAAAGAAAAAAAAATCACACATGTGCTCTGGAGTCCACGGGTAGCAGGAAGAACAGGAATGGAAGAYGGTAGGAGGCAGATCAGAAGAGAATTCCCAGAAGACCTTGCATGATATGCAAAACTAAAGCTTTGCAAACTCAGAGTTTCCCTGGACCCTGGCTGCCCATTCCAGGCCTGGAAGTCAGCACTGTCACTGCTTTGGTGTTTCTCTTTGTAGACCCTTTCTGAGGCATTTGCAGTTGAATAAATGTGTGTTCATACCAGTTTCTGACCTAGCAGTAGCAGAAGTGCTGAATATTTTGAATTTTTTTTAAGTTTCTATGCCCCCAACTCTTGTCTAATTAGGAAACAGTTAAATGCTCCAAGAGACCTCTGTTAGTGAGCCCAGGACACCTCAGAAATGGAAGGGTCCTTAGAAATTAGGGGTGGGGAGAGCTGGGCTCCGAGGACCACAGTAGAATCATGGCAGAGCAGGGATAGACCTGGGATCCCGGCATGGAACATTCTCTCTTTCCATGCTGCCGGGCAGGCTCATTACCCRGATGCCTCCTGTGCTGGGGCTTTCCTGCACTCAGGCCCTCCCCCGCCCCTCTCCTGCAGGTACCTGTCCCACACGGAGCTGGCCCCTCTGCGTGCGCCCCTCATCCCCATGGAGCACTGCACCACCCGCTTTTTCGAGACCTGTGACCTGGACAATGACAAGTACATTGCCCTGGATGAGTGGGCAGGCTGCTTCGGCATCAAGGAGAGTGAGTGTCTGCACCGGGCATGTCACGGTCCCTCAGGTGTCGGGCTGTCGTCCCCCACCTCTCTGCCGGCTGTCTGAGTCCCCTTTTCTGCTGTCTCTGCCCTCTGTGCCTATTTCACCCCTGTGTGCTCTCCCAGGCTGGGTGGGCCTTGCTCTCTCAGGTGTCTTTCAGATCCTCCTCTGCCCCTCTCAAGGTCTCTTTCTTGTTCCTTTTCCRTACCTCAAGCTTGGGCCCTCGCTTTGAGCCAAGCACTATTCTGGGAACTGGCAGGCTACGGAGAGGAAGCAGGAAGTGTAACTTGGYGGGTGTGTAAGAGACTGGGACTGGCCAGAGACAGGGGGGCAAGGTTCTTCCGTTACCAACACCCTGGGGACCTTGGCATTGGCCCCAGCCCCCCCCTGCCTCTGGATGGGTGGGAATCCATCCACCTTCCCCTCCAGGGGAGTGCATCTCCTCCACCCAGGGCCTCATGGTAAACTCTCTTTTCTTGCTTTGCAGAGGATATCGACAAGGATCTTGTCATCTAAATCCACGCCTCCTTCTGCAGAACCGGATTCTTTCTCTTTGATCTTCCCGGTCCTGTTTCCCCCCATGTTTAAAATGTTTGGATGGTTGGTTGTTCTGCCTGGGGATAAGGTGCTAACATAGATTTAAATGAATACATTAACGGTGCTAAAAAATGGAAGTGGTAATCCAAGTCATGACATTCTTGCTTGTCACTTAACTGGGGGTCGCCCATTTGCAGCCCCACCTTTCTCTTGCACACCATGGCCATTGTCTTGCTGGTCACGGTGGAAGCTGACCCACTCGAGTCTGCCTTCGACACACATTGAATCTTCAGATTTTCCATTATTCTGCTTGAAACTAATACTCACCAAGTCAGACTTTATGTTAGTTTTATTTCAGGGGATGATGTTGGCTGCCTGGGGTCTTCCCCAGGTGGCCTGGAGGTGGGGATGGGAAGTAACAGACATGTTGTTGGCAAGGCCATTTCTGGGACAGTGGTGGAAGAGGTCTCAGGAACCAACAGCCAGAACCATAGAAAGCAAGTCTATTTTTTTTTTTTTTTTTTTTTGCCTGGGGCTGTGACTGAAAGATTCTGGGGCCAAGTTCTAAAAATACACAAATTCTCTTAGAAGCCTATTTCCTCCTTCACCCTTTGGTCTAATTTCTTTTCACATCAGGCTGTTTGTTTGAACTTTTGGGAGCCCCTGGGGCCTTCCGTGCTCTGAGGGGGCGGATCAGCTACAAGGACTTCTTCCCTCCTAACTTCTTTTGGAGATTCTGGATTTTTTTTTTTTTTTTTTTTTGGGGGGGTGTGCTCCAGGAAATGAGAGGCCATTTCAGGCAGGAAGACAAAACCAAGAATGAGACATAGAAAGTAGTAAAGCAGAAATAGTAGAGTTGGGTGAATTGGTCGTATTTTTTTTTTTTTTCACATTTTAATGGCTGTCCTAAGTTGCTAGCACGTTCTTCTTTTTTTCTTTCCCCTTTGGATCTTCTACTAATCAGAGAAACTTCAAAGTCAATGGGATGGTCAGATCTCACAGGCTGAGAACTCGTGCACCTCCAAGCATTTCATGAGAAAGCTGCTTCTTATTAATTGTGCCAACTCTCACCGTGATGTGAAGAGTTTGACAAATCTTTCAAAATAAAAAGTAATGACTTAGAAACTGCCTTCCTGGGTGATTTTGCAATGTGTGTTTGTCTTGGGCACCTTATTACCCTGACACAACAACGCGTGGGCACACGTATCTACACACAACCACACAAATGCAAACCTACCACCATGTTTTTGGACACACACTGCACATACACACTTATTTATACACAGGGAATGTATAGTTGCTGTGAGCACTAATTTATTTATTTGTTTGAGTACTGGGCATTAAACCCAGGGACACTTACCATTGAGCCACATCCCCAGCCTGTTTTATCTTTTATTTTTGAGACAGGGTCTCACTAAGTTGCTTAGGGCCTTGCTGAGTTGCTGAGGCTGGCCTTGAAATTTGCAATCCTACTACCTTAGCCTCCCAAGCTGCTGGGATTACAGGTGTGCGCCATTGCACCTGTATGAGCACTAATGTAGCTAACTCTTTTGAATGACCTATGGTCTGACCAATTTTAATAATTGAAATTCACTTGGCTAAGCAATTATCTCCTTTCATTAAKCATACATGTGTTCATTCATTCATTCAGCAAACATTTACTATTTGTCTGTTCTATACCAGGTTCCATGACAGGCACCAGGGACACAATTGTGGTCTAGCAGACAAAGTCTTTGCTTTTTTGGAGTTTATTGTCCCTTGAAGGATACATTAAATAATTGCACAACTAAATACAAATTTCAGGATGTGGTGGGTGCAATGAAGAAAGAGTATAGGTGACCATGAGTGTGTCTAACAGGACAACAGCATTCTAGCAGTAGTCTATTAYTATATTAGCTATAATATTAGTTATTCATTAGAACTGGTCATTACATTAGTTATATTTATTATACTTTCCTGGAATGATTYTAGCATTGCACTACTCATTTATGAGTTGATTGAAGTTTAAAATTCAGTTTCTCTGGGGCTGGGGACATGGCTCAGTGGTCKAGTGCTGTCTATCATGAATGAGGCTGTGGGTTCCATGCCCAGTCCTGAAAATAAAAATAAAAATCCAGTTTCTCAGTCACAATAGCCACATTTTCAGTGCTTGACAGGCATGGCTGGCTGATGGCTCCCCTATACAAAAAGGAAGATGGAGAACATTTTCATCATCACAGGAAGTTCTGCGGGACAGTGCTGTTATAGCTCATCATAAGCCTACAGGACACTTTCCACAGCTTGTGGGTCCATCAAGCTAGTTACTAGTGTGATATTTCAGGTCCCGGAGTCTCCCTAGAGATGGAGAAATAGGCACCAAAAAATGTGCTCAGTTGCAATGGGCCACATAGTTGGGTCTTCAGGTGTCAAACTTAGAAGTTGTCCCCCTTATTTCAATTTTTTTTTTTGTACTGGGGATTAAACTCAGGGACACTCGACCCTTGAGCCACATCCCCAGCCCTATTTGGTATTTTTGTTTGAGACAGGGTCTCACTAGGTTGCTTAGCACCTGGCTGTTGCTGAGGCTGGCTTTGAACTTGCAATCCTCCTGCCTCAGCCTCCAGAGCTGCTGGGATTACAGGCATGGGAACCACGCCTGGTTTACTTCAAATTATTTAAAGATTATTAAAATAATACAATTCCTAAAAACAGAGCAACCATATTTTGKTGTTCTCATCTGCATAATGGGAGGGAGAGAAGGGAGGGATTGTCTGGTTTGGTCCTGTTCTCAGGAGGAATGCAAGCCCAGGGCTGAGCGGCTCATAATCTCTAGGCATCTGGGCAGAGAGAGGGAGGAGAGTAAGTTTCATTGCTGGTTTGTTCATCTGCTCACARGGTTTTTCTGGCCTGTGTATTATGCGAGGCACTGTCATCCTACGGTCTCAGGGGTAAGGCAGGCACTGGCCTTGCTTCCCTGGGGTCTCCCTCCTAGCTAAGCAGATATCCCTAACATCACCATTTCAGTTAGCAGCAGGCGCCTGCTAAAAGGAAACAAAGCAGGGCTCTCTTGGGAAACAGGTGCACGGGTGCTCCTYCCGGCAGGTGGGAAACATGGCCCTGTGGAGGAAGGTGGTGGACTTGCCTTACTAGGTTGGTCCAGGGCTGATCATTTGTGGGGTGCACAGSACCGACCAACAGATCTGCCAACAACTCACTGAGGTTCAGGGAGGTTGGGTGACTTGGGCACGAAAAAGGAATAAGAAAGGATGGTGGTGGGGGCAGAGGACGGGAACCCAGAGCTTTCTCCCCTGTGTCTGGATGTCCCCCTGTCGGGAGCTCCTCAGTATTTTCAAGGAAAAGCCAGTGCAAAGAGACATGAAGCATGACTCAGGCCAGGGCCCTGGGGGGGGGGGCAGGGTAGGGCTCAGAAGCTCAGGATCAGGATCCATATCCTCTTCCCTTTAAATCAAAGCATTTAAGGACACACACACACACACACACACACACACACACACACACACACACACTCACACACACACACCCCTTAACATTCAAAAGAAATTGCACTATTGCCTTAAATGGAAGATCAGTTTCATTTGCTAAAAATAGAAGTACACTTAAAGATAAAAACAACAAAAATAACAAATGCAATGAAAAAAATAATGTGCAGGTAGGCATGTACCCCATGCTGTTTTTTGCTAAAGAAGAAAACTTAAGAGAACTTCTCTTTGATAATCTGACTGTCCAAAGAGAATTGAATTATCAATCTTAAAATCATTTGCACCAAAATGGTGGCCGCCCCTCACTTCCCCAATCCCTCCTTTGCTTTTCACGGGAAGGTGAAGGTCTCCTTTGGAGATCATYCAGGCCTCTGCTACCATTGGTTAAAGAGGACACGGCCAGGCCCTTAAGGAAAGAGGAGGCACCCAGGTCAGAGGAGTCAGAGAATCGAAGCCTCTCTGCCTCTCAACGGCTGCAGAACTGGATCGAACCTCATTTAGTCCTGTGGCTCGGCACTCTACCCTTCTTTCTTCATCTGTGAAACTCCTGATGAGAATAATGCCTGCCTCACAGGTTGCTGTGCCTAGCATAGAGCAAGCCAATAGATCATCACCACCAACAACCATTCCCGGCAAGTGTGAGRGGTCACTCCTTCCCCACTACCTAGACTGGGGAGTGTCTCAGTTCTGCCAGGCTCGTCAGTGTCTTGGTTTTGGCTCCAGGACTGCAAGGGTTAAACGTGTCCAATTGGAAATGGAAAAATAAGGGTGGCAACAGGAMCCCAGACGGGGAATTAGGGATCTAGTTTCCAGGACAGTTGTGGGAGCCTGCACAAGTCTCTCACCCTCTAAAGGGTCATTCAGTGTCCTCTTTTAAATAATGGTAGACAGATCTGGATGAGATGGTGCAGTCTTCAGAAACGGTCCGATCTCCACTGCTCCCCTTCTGAAGGGTGGTCCCAGGGAATGAGTAAATCTGACTCCCCCGGGCCTTCCAACCTGGTTTCCAGATGACCCAGAAGAGCCAGCAGGACCAAGGGGAGTCACCAGCCCATGAGGGACTGAGGAGGGTGAGGGCGCCCCCTGGTGGGAATGGAGAGAAAAACTCTGAGGGATACAGAACTCCTGCATCCCTACCAGCAAGCCATAGGGGCTCGTCTATTGGAGCCCCCTCACTTCCCACATGGGGAAACAGGTTTAGAGAAGCGGAAGATATTCCCTCAGGTAGGGTAGCCAGATAAAAGACAAGATTCCCAGTTAAATCTGAATTTCAGATAAAAAAATGAATCATTTGTTTTAAAGCATGAATATGCCCCATGTAATGCTTAAGACATATTTCTACTAAAAATATATTTATTGGATATCTGAAATTCCAATTTAACTGGGAATCCTGTCTTTTTCTTTGCTAGATATGGCAATGTAAGAGCTCAGACTGCAGCTCAGACGGAGGTCAGGGTTTCTCCATCCTCTCTCTTCCCTAATGTATTTWGCTAGCAGCTCTGCCTGACATCCAGCAGGGGGCAAAGAAAATGCTTTGTTGATAGGAGAGAGAGGGTGGAAAGACACCTGAATCCTGACTTTGATGATCATCAGGAATGTTTCAGGCAGAAGGAATGAAGTGGGTTCCTCCTCTGCCCCAA